GCTCTCCTGCGGAGGCTGGTCCTGCGCCCCGCGGCCGGCCGGGAGCTGGCGGAGCCTGTGTGCCGGAGGAGGGGGGGACACACGGGGAAAGCCGAGCCCCGAGGTGCATGTGTGTGGGGAAGGGTTTTCCCAAGGCTTGTAAAAAGGGGAAAGAACCGGACCGGCTTCCCCAGAGAGCTGGTGTCATGGCAGCCCGACTCGTCTTAGATGTCTCCTGCGCTTTGGTTTTGAGGGAGGGGAAGAGGCAAACACGGGAGAAGCGGCGCGTTTAGTTGTGTGTGGACTCGGTGGAGACGGCCGCGCCGGCTCAGGGTGGCTGGGGATCGCCTGGCAGGCGCCAGGTCGGTGGCTGCGAGCAGGTCACAGCCCTCGGTGTTCTGCGGTGGCCTCTGGCCGGGGTGGAGGACGCGAGACCGCAGACAGCGGGGCGGCTGCCGAGCCGTGGCGGGGCTCGGAGGCAGCCCTGGGCAGGGAGGGTGGGCGTTTCAGGCTGGGTTTGTGGTTCGGTGCGTTTCAGGCTGGGTTTGTGCTGCGGTGCCCGGGGATGGAGGGTTGCACTTGGCTTGGTGCCTGTTTCTCTCCACGCTGATCTCGTGAGAGACCGTGGTGGAGGCGAGGAGAGGGACAGCCCGTGTCCCCAGGTCCTGGCTTGGATGCCGTCCGGGGGTGGGGGGCGGGGGGGGGGGGGGGTGTTGCCCCCTTGCCCAGTGCACCATCTGCGTGCGGCGCGTCTTCGTCCTGGCTCCGTCGTGGCGTGACCCTCTCGTCCTTCTGCTTCCCCCAGAACGTCGCCGAGTACGACCTCAAGGACATCTCGTACAAGGTGAGGGGCCCCACCTGCCACGAGCTGACGCTCCTCGGCTCCTCGGACGAGCCCATGGTGTTTAACTTCGAGGAGGAGCGGGAGGCGCAGAAGTGGTGGACGATCGTGAGCAGCTCCCTGCGGGAGGTGCAGAAAGGTCAGTGCTGGCAGGCGGCTGCCCGAGGGCTGGCAGGGACCCGGGGAATCTGCCTGCTGCCCAGAGCGGCTGCCAGGCTTTCCCTGGCCCTGGCAGCTGACGTACCCAGGGCTGGGGCTGGTCCTGCCGCGAAATAATTTGGGTGAGCGATACCAGCTGCTTCTGGCTCCCCGAGTGCTGGGGCAGCATCTCAGCCCGTTCCTTCTCCGGGGCGTTAACTCCTGCACACCTGGAGAGGGACGTTCGGAGGGTTCCTGCGTACGTTGGAGCGTCCGAGGGGGCGGAGGAGACCCCAGGAGACGGGAGGTGGCGTGGGCAGTGACGTGGGAAGAGGGGTGGCTGTCCCAGCCCCGCGTGCGGGGAGGGAGCTGCTCGCTTGAAGGGAGAAAAGCGGCACCGGGTGGGTCTGAGGAGCCGGAGCAGCGTGCTGCATCTCTGCTGCCTTTACCCCGGCCGTCCCGGGAGTTTAGGGGAGCAGCAGCCAAAGGCTTTGCGGAGACAGTGGGCTGTCGCTGGCGCTGCTCCCCGAGCTCTGCCAGCCCTTGGGACGTGGATTAGGGTCTCTGTTACCTTCGCCTCGAGCGACCTGGCATAGCCCAGGGCTTCCTGATGCATCTTCTCCCCGTGCTGTGAGTGTGGAGCTCCTTGGGGAGGGCGGTCGGTGGGGGGGGGGGGGGGTGCTGCCCTGCCCTGATGTATTCCTGCTTTCCCTCAGCCTCGGACAGCACGCTGGCGTCCCAGGCCTCATCCCTGCCCGCGGCTGCCGGGGGCGTCTCTGCAGATCAGGACCCGGAGGCAGCTCCGTTCTTGGAGCTTTCCGAGAAAGGTATTTGAGGGGGAAGGTTTCTTGGCTCTTCTCGTATATCGGGAGTTACCAACCCTCCGTGGGAGACAGGCTCAGACCCGGGTCCAGCTGCTTCCCCGCCTGTGGCTGACAACAAACTCCTTTATCACAGAATCACTGAATCACTGAGGTCGGAAAAGACCCTTAAGATCACTGAGTCCAACCATTAACCCAACATGGCCAAGCCCACCACTACACCATGTCCCTCAGCACCACGTCCACATGGCTTTTAGATACCTCCAGGGATGGGGACTC